TACCTCATCTGTTTTAACTTTTGTTTGTATAGTATTTATAAAATTTCATAACTCATGTTTTCTTATTTATGAATTTCAGGATACAAAAAAAAAAAAAAAGAAATAATTTCTTCCACAATCATTTCAAACAAATCATAATTCTGAAATCATTTCTTCAACAAGAAATTTCAACGGGCTTTCTGGTAAGTTTTTTTTTGCATGTTTTATTTTTTTATTTTTTTATATAATGTGAATTTAAATTTTATTATGTATATTGCATGCTTTTCTTTATAAATGATGTATTTTATTTTTAAATATTAAGGGACATGTAAACAAACAAATGGAGTAACAAATGTAAACAAATGAAGTTCCATTGAAATTGCTATTAATAATTCATTAGTTTATAAATATATACAGATGAATTTGAGTGCTTTACATGGTCAGGTTATGATTTGTTTACATTTTGTTGTTTACTTGTAAATAAATTGTAAAGGCACGTGGTATTTGACAGTGTTGTCATGGAAATATATAAACAAACTGTAATAGTATCTTCTTACCTTTTTACCTGCAAGTTATGCATAGTTTATCTTTGGTGATGCTGTTTGAATGGCGTGATTTCATTGGCTCGTTTTGTGGAAGGGAGGCGATTATATAAAGGCTTGCTTGTCACGCAACCCCACCAAACCGTTGCTAAAGCTGATTGCTCGTGCTCTTATCTGAAAATACCTTTAAAAAAAAGGCAAAGGCGGAAAAGTTAAGGGAAAGAGTAAGACTCGATCCAGCAGAGCTGGTCTTCAGTTCCCTGTGGGACGTATTCATCGTCTGTTAAGAAAGGGGAATTATGCTGAACGCGTGGGAGCAGGAGCCCCAGTTTACCTCGCAGCTGTGTTGGAATACTTAGCTGCTGAGGTTCTGGAATTGGCCGGTAATGCAGCCCGAGACAACAAAAAGACTAGGATCATTCCTAGACATCTCCAGCTCGCCATCCGTAATGATGAGGAATTGAACAAACTCCTTTCTGGAGTAACCATCGCACAGGGTGGTGTGCTGCCAAACATTCAGGCTGTCCTGCTCCCTAAAAAAACTGAAAAGAAAGCATAAATTCTCTTTTGAATCGTCCCAAAAAAAAAGGCCCTTCTCAGGCCAAAAAATATTATGTGATATTAGAGCAACAAATCTTTTATAAAAACAAAACACATGTAACCTACATTTCCCCCAAAAAATATATATTATAATAATGTCATTTATATTTTAATACATAGTTATATAAGGGTTCTATGTGAGGGAAGGGTAGTTATATGTATGTATGTATGTAATGTGTTGCTGTATAATGTTTATCTATTCTCTAGTGCCTAAATTAAAGTGTGTGTAGTGTAGTGTGTGTATGTATGTATGTGTATGTATGTATGTATGTCTCCGAGAACTCTTAAAAAACAATACCTTTGCATATATGTAATTGTGATGCTTCAGAACTTGATGTATTGTGTATATTTCAGTCAGTGGCTGAAAGGCATAGACTTAATTTCTATGTATTGCTAAATTATAATTGTATTTATTTTTATAATTTGTTTACCTTTTTTTGTATATATTTAAAGAAGATGGAACATTAATTACAATATGAAGCCCTCTGACTCGTGGCTCCATCTGTAAAGGAGGGGAGAAGATTTAAAATCATTTTTAAGAATTGTGTTGTTCAAAGGGTTAATGCATAATAGATGTCCCATGCAATTAAATTATAATATAAATTAATGGCCCTTAGAAGGGCCGTTTTGAAAAGGAAGTGTAATTATTTTAAGCACGTTCTCCTCGGATACGTCTTGCCAGCTGAATGTCTTTTGGCATAATAGTAACTCTCTTAGCGTGAATAGCGCACAAGTTGGTGTCTTCGAATAAACCTACTAAATAAGCTTCGCTAGCCTCCTGCAGAGCCATGACAGCGGAGCTCTGGAATCTGAGATCGGTTTTGAAATCCTGAGCGATTTCTCTCACCAAACGCTGGAATGGGAGTTTGCGGATGAGAAGCTCAGTGGATTTCTGATAACGACGGATCTCTCTCAGAGCGACTGTTCCTGGCCTATAACGATGGGGCTTCTAACTCCTCCGGTAGCTGGGGCGCTCTTTCGAGCAGCCTTTAGTAGCCAGCTGTTTGCGGGGAGCTTTGCCCCCGGTACTTTACGAGCGGTCTGTTTGGTACGAGCCATTTGCAACGAGCTCTGACTGACTGACTGTCTGACGGAACTGAATGGTGAAAAAATGTGTGAGTGAAAATGACGAGAAAGTGTCGAATTTATACTCCTCCGCGGGTGCGAGGTGTAGCGAATCGAGAGGCTGCCGACGCTTTGGATGGGTGGGATTTATAGCGGTAGTATAAAAAGCGTGCCTACCCCGCGCGCAAAAATCAGAAAATGGCAGAAGAGACCGCCGTCGTAGCCTCCTCACCCATCGCCGCAACGCCTAAGAAAAAGGCGAAAAATGCGACTGGAAAGCCGAAAAATGCCCCGCCATCTCATCCGAAAGTGTCGGAAATGAAGTGTCGGAAATGGTCGTGACAGCTATCATAAGTTTAAAGAGCGAGGGGGCTCTTCCCTCCAAGCTATCAAAAAGCACATCGCCTCTCAACACAAGGTAGATATGGATCGTCTGACTCCTTTCATCCGAAAGTTTCTGAAAAGTGCTGTCGCTGGCGGCACTCTCGTTCAAACCAAAGGCAAAGGAGCCAACGGATCTTTCAAACTCAACGCGTCAGGTCAAAAGCAAAAGAACCCAAAAAGTCGTGAAGAAAGTTAAGAAGGAGGGAGCGACTCCTGCCAAGAAAGCGAAAACCCCCGTTAAAAAAGCAACCAAACCCAAGTCAAAACCTGAGAAAAAGAAGCCAAAAAAAAAAAAAAGCCGCGGTCAAAAAAATAGTGAAAGCTAAATCCCCAAAAAAGGTAAAAGCTACCAAACCCAAAGCCCCTAAACCCAAAAAACTGAAGACCCCTAAAAAAGCTGCTCCCAAAAAGGCAGCCAAAAAGTAAGTGTTGACTATCTCAACGGACTTGGTCCACAAAGGCTCTTTTCAGGGCTAAACTGGGGGGATTGGCATATGCATATCATCCTATGTGTTCGTTTTATATTTCTTTCATTATCATTATACAATATATTTGTATGCATGTATTATATATATATTTTTCCTTTTTAGACAGCCATTACAATTTGAAATGAATAAGAAGACGAAAAGAATTTGCACTTTCTGCTCTCATCATGATAAAAGGACTTTCTGACTTACAGATTTATTATCGATGGGCTTCCTTCTCCTTTAAACAGCCCAGCTCTACAAATCCTCCGAGGTATTCATCTATTATAAATGCATTGGTTGTAATCAAAATACTTTTATTTATGCTGAGTTTCATCTGTGGAAAGGCATGCTAAAAAAAAAAAAAAAAAAAAAAAAAAAAAAAAAAAAAAAAAGGCCAAATTTAAGACAAATTCAGCCCTTGCTTCGCAACTACAAACAGCTTGTTTGTCCAACAATAACGTTTCAAGTCCGAATCTGCTGACGCCGTCCGTTGCAGTCACTACTTTCGGAAATGAGTAGACTCGATGGCAAATACTAAACGTCCCGCATCTGCAGTTGGGATTTCCAAGTGCCTTGCAGTGACTGCTATGAAATGATGTGAGAATACGTAATTTTTTTTTTTTTTTTTTTTTTTTTTTTTTTTTTTTTTTTAATTATTATTATTATTATTATTATTATTAAAACAAAAGAATTGAATTTAAATAATGAAATGGATTGGAATGCAAGTAATCGATGCCCGAATCGTGCGCCGGTTCCATAAGCAGGCAGCGTGACACTCTCGTGTCGTCCCGGAAAGCACAGCAGCCGAGCCCGTCAACAGCAGATCAGCCGGCCGAAGCCGAGTGTTGTGTCCCGTTGCTGAAGTGAACTTGAATGGATATCACTTTTTCCGAGGTAAGAAATGTGTATTCTTATTATTTCCAAGTGCATTTCTCAGTAATAGGAATAGAAGCTTCGAATCCTTTGAGAATTTTACTGCATATTCACTTAATATTAGACGAGAAATTGTTTTTCAGAAATGTAAACAAAAGTCACAAGTTCACAATACTGACCTTGTTTGTTTGTTTTTTACATTTTTGACAACGTCTTGTCAAACAGCACGTGTGTTTGTTGGCATTTTTGACAGTGTCTTGTCAAATACCACGTGTGTTTGTTTACATTTTTAAACATTGTGATACGCTTCTTGTAATTAAAAAGAAAAAGAAGACTTTTATGTACTAATTTCAAAGTTTAATTAGTTCTAGGTTCTCATCTTTGTTTTTAAAAATATGTGAGAATGCGTTAGTTCTGCACCGTTCATATATGCCCGATTTGTTTACAAATTTGACAGGAGTATGTCAAATACCACGTGCTTACTGGACACGGCCTTTTGTCAACTTACTGGACACATGCTTTTGTTTACAAACAAGCAACCAATTGTAAGCGTCATCCTAATTTCGCTTCTTGTAATTTTAAAAAAAAAAAAAGGAGCTTTATGTACTGATTTCAAAGTTGATTCAAATCTAGTTCTCATAGTTGTTTTTAAAAAATATGTTCATGTGAGAAGACGTTAATTCTGCGCCCTTCATATGCCAACTACAATACTGGTCCGATTTGTTTACAAATTTGACAGACGTATGTCAAATACCACGTGCTTGCTGGACATGTGCATTTGTTTACAAAACAAGCAACAAATTGTAATAATAATTGTAATGCGCTTCTTGTTAATAATAATAATAAAGTGAGCTTTATGTTACTGCTTTCATAATTGATTGAACTCTAGGTTCTGTCTATATACATATTACAGAAGAATTTTACTCAGTCCTTTTGTGAGAATGTTAGGGATATGATGTTCAATAGTGTGGATTTCAGTGCATCAATATTATTAAAAAAAAAAAAAAAAAAAACATCATATAAACAACACGTGAATGTTTAACATGAATATAATTTATTTTTATAAAAAAAAGCAAAAATTTTGAATGCCAACGGCACGCGGTGTTCCCAGGTGGTCACCCTCCCAAGTACTGACCGCGCCCGATGATGATGCTTGACTTCGGTGATCGAACGAGAACCGGTATATTCAGCATGGTATGGCCGTTGGCGAATGTATGTAGCATTCGCTTGAAGAGAAGGATGGAGCAAGAAGCCAGCTATGAAAACCTACAACAAGATATGGAAGGTATGTAAACCTTTAAATTTTATTATTATTATTATTATTTTTTTTTTTTTTTGATTTTTAAATCTGAGTGCATAATCCCAATGATCCAGTTCCTTGATTGTCTTCATCGATTGATAGCTTTCATTGAGCTGAGATTTTTTGGATATAATTAACTCAGATTTTTGCATTCTCTGAAATTAATTTTTATTATTGTATGTATTATTTTACATATCCTAAATATTTTTAATGCAATCAAATCAAATTCATTCATGAGCATAATCCTACGTAAATAAATACATTATATGTATGAAGACTTCTCTACTAGTCTAACAAATATACGGCTAGTCTAGGGGATGTTTTCCAAACGAAATAAAGAAACAGGGTGTTTCTTTTAACAACATTTAAATACACACTATTATAAAGCGATCCTTACATTAACTATTAATTAATTACAATCATCTTCTAATAATTCTTTTTATATACACTCTCTCTCTCTCTCTCTCTCTCTCTCTCTCTCTCTCTCTATATATATATATATATATATATATATATATATATATATATATATATATATATATATAATATATAATTTCATTATAGTACAAAATCGATATGGATTCAAATGTGTATGGTCAATTGTTTATAGATTACTATGACAGCACTATGTCAAATACCACGTGCGTTCAGAAGTTTGTACTGGACACGTGCGTTTGTGTACAAACAAACAACAAAATGTAAACATACATTTCATACGTTTTTTATAATATGAAAAAAAAAAAAAAAAAAAAAAAAAAAGAGCTTTGCGTACTGATTTCAAAGTTCTCTACATTCTCATCGTTATTTTTAAGGATAATATATCGGTATTTCATCTCTTTATGGAAATAATTGTCATGTAACGCCTCAAAGGATGTGTGGATCCCATATATGCTCGCATTTTACATGTAGCCAGTATTTGTATTGATTAGTTCCACTTAAAAAAATATATATGTTAAAAATAATATTAGCCTTATATTTGTGCAAAATAGCTACAGTTTTAAGGATCATTTTAATACTTTTATATATAATTAGAATGGGGCCTGATGGCCAAGTGGCTAGCGCTCGGTATCACAGGTTTCGGGTTCGAATCCCGGCGGTGCCATGGGTGTTTGTAGGGGTTCGAATCCACTTTAAACTATAGGTCCCGGTCCTGATAGGATCGTTGAGCGTTGCGGGGGCATTGTTACTCCGCGTCCTTGGCTTTATCTTCAAGTCACACGCGCCCCCTGGGTAATGCAAAGTGAGTAACGTCTGTGCAACGCTTGCCTTAATGCATCCAAGACCAAGCTGTCTAAGTGCTTGCCAGCTGCATTAGAAAGAAAATATATATATATATAATTAGAAAACATTTAATCATGTTTTAATATAACTAATTTTAATTTAATAATCAAAGACCGACACATTTCTGATTTAAAGTGAAAAAAATATTTCAAAAGCTTTGATACAGCAAATGATTAATTATTTTATGCATAAAATTAATATTTGCATAAAATATACATATAAAAAATTATGTGTGTGTGTTTTATTTATTAATATTTTATGAAGTCAAATTTTAATCATTTTCGTTTCAGAATTACATAAAACTAAATTTTTTTCAAAAAAAAAATAATAATAATAACAATATATCTTTCCAAAGTGAGAACATCTAATTAAATTCACAAAGAAATCAATTAAAAGCATAAATCAAATTAATTAAATTATTTCTTAGTTAACTTTCCGCTTTTTACAACTTTGATCATGCGATATCAGTGTTATCTCGTTTGTACAGAAACAGATATATAATATTTATATTTTTAATTTGGAATCGGGTATCTAATTGCCCTTTTTTTCAACATCTCGTAAACTTTTAATAATAATTTGAAAAAAATTTATATCTGAAGAGGTGGCGGCACTAGAATGGCATCGGCATAAATATTTATTATGCTAGAATTCCTTTTATTCATACCGGTATTTAAAATTTAATATTTTTAATTTTGGAAAATTTTTTTCTTTCGATTGCCTTAAAAAAAAAAAAAAAAAAAAAAAAAAAAAAAAAAACAAAAAAAAACATTATTAATTCAGAACCAGAAATATCGTTCATTAAACGAAATTTTCATATATTATTACGAAAGTCAGTTCTTGAACCCCTATATCTCCAAACTTTTAATCAAATCTCTATAAAAAAAAATTAACAAATACTAATTTCTAATACTGTATCGATTGCGTGAAAAAACTTGGTTTTCGTAATGAAATTTCGAGTTAAAAAGCGAGTTAGAGGCTAATTAATTTTGTTAATCAACTGCTTTGCACCATAAGTTAGTTTCCCTCGTGCTGTTTCTAGCAATACCATTTATATGAAGAGATAATGATATTTGCAAAAATTATTAAGAGTGTCTCCTTATTTGGGGGAGGAGGGGGCACTGTACAAGTTTTCTTAATTATCTAGTGAGATTTTCTGATTATACAGTTATACACACCGAGTTAATATATATATACATATATGTGTTTTACTTAGGGCCGGATCATCGCACAGACAAATAAGAAAAAGAGTCCAGTTTTTAAAAGGCCTTGGTCAATTTTGAAAAGATTCGTAAATGAGATAATTTACTTTTCTGTTGGACAAATATATCTAATAAATAAATAAACAAAATATATTGTTTTGAAAATATGATAATATAAAAAAAAAAATAAATAAAAATTCTGACTATTCTTTTTTGAGAATTCTAATATCTAAAGAAAATGCGTTCTTATGTTTTCCTTATTGAAAATAATTCTTCTGATAATTTAGATTTATATACAGCGATAAGAATAACTATTAAATATTTTAAATTTATTCTTAAAAAGAAAGAATTTCATATTTCTGTTCTTATTTGAATCCATAATTAGAATTGTTCATATTTTTTTTTTTTTCAATCTTCAAAGATATTTTTCTAAACAAAAGCTTATCAAATTGAATATAGTACTTATTTATTAAAAAAGGATAATCAGTGCATTTTTTCAAATTACAAAAGAAACTCATAAAATGTGAAACATTAGATTTAATAAAATAAGGCATTTTTTTTAAATTTTAGGCTATTAATTTGTATAAATGTTAAAAATGTTTTATGTTTGGTAAAAAACAAGGCATTAACGATTGACTATTTGGTAAACTGTCCACAATAATAGAAAATTTGAATAAAATTAAAATAAAAACAAATTATTAAAATAAAACAAAAAAAAAAACTAAATAAAAATATTTCGCTGTCTTTTAATATTAATATTAGGATCATAAATTTTAATTTCCTGGATTGTTGAGTTCTTGTGGTTATCAATAGAATGAAAGCATTTTTCAAAAACGGGCTTAAGGAAGTCTTTAAGTGGAGGAATATTAGTATCTTGCTGTATTTACGAATTCCTCATATAACATTTAGCTGCAGTGATTTGTCTGAGAGTGATATTTTGAAAAGCTTTAATGATCTTTAAGTTTGACTTAGGGGCATAAGTCATTCGTAAGTACTTATAGGTCGTAAAACAGTTGCATACAAAAAGAAATTTATTGTTCCTATTCATATCTATTGATAAAAGAAAATTCTAAAATTCAAGCGAAATTTATTTTTAGTATGTTCAAAATGCTTTTTCATGTGAGATGCTGAAGAAAAGTAGTAAAAAAAAAAAGAAAAATACTAAATTAAATCTGAATCTAAATATTTTGAAATATTTTTTCCAAGGAATAATAATGTTAATGTTAATGTTTTTATCACATTAAAAAATTATATAAATATAAATTCGGTTCATTGGGTCTGTTCGTTTAACTATTTAAAAAAATTTGCACTCTCGAGAATACGGCATGTCAATTCAACCCAATACTATTGCTCAACTTAAGTAAACATTAAAGCTAAAGTACTCCCCAAAGAGCCACCAAGTGACCAAAAAGATTATCGCCAAAATGAGTTTGGCTGAGTTCTCTTTTGCCAATAAAATAAGACATTGACGTATACAGGGTTGAATAGTTTACGATGCCCAAAGCAGCGTTTGGATTGGAAGCTCCTCTGGGAGTACTTTTGATCTCTAAGGGCTAGTCATGAACAGCAGCAAGGTAGACAAAAGGAAACTTGCCCAAGTAAAATGCTCAAAAACAATTTTACTGGTTATATATTCAACCGCACTCATTCAAATTCTGGTGATCTCCTCTAGAAATCACCTTCACTTAAGCTGTATCAAGCAAAAATTCAAGCAAAGAGAAATTCTGCAATGTAACTCGTCCCCACATACGAAAGTCGGGGACTTGTTACCTTGTTTCAATATGTACTGATACAATATTTTTAAAGACAAAAACATGATGTGAAAATAAATTTTGTATATATGTTTTAGAAGTTAAAACGAGTTCATTAATAATTTTAAAATTAAAGTATATTCAAATAGTTTCATTTAAAAAAAAAAAGCCGATCTCTTCAGATATCTCCTTCACACACGAAAATCAGAGTCTGGTTACCCGAAGAATCTGAATTTTTTTTCAATATATAGTCAAAAAATATTTTAAAAAGTTGTACACTCCGTAAAAATAAAATTTGGTAAAACAAATTTTGTGTATCTTTATAACAAATTAAAATGTCCAAAAAAATTTTTTGCGGGTTATATCTTCAACCACACTTATTCAAATCCTGGTGATCTCCTCTAGAGATCACCTTTATTTAAGCTATATCTGGCGAATGTACAAGCATTCAGAAATTTCTCTTGTTATATATATAATGCTATAATATTTCTAAAAAAAGTGGTAGATTAAGTAAAATTTCAAATTTCATAAAACAAATTCTATATATTTGTGTAACGAATTAAAACGAGTTCCAGAATAATTTTTAAAAGAATATATATTGAATTCCACTCATTTACAAAATGCCTATCTCTTCAAATCATCACATTTATATACGAAAGTCAGAACCTGGTTA